ACATGCTTGAATGTCGTTTTTTTATCTTTGTGAGAATTTTTTTTTATAGTTTTGGCCATCACTATCCAAACTAACATTGGATTAAAATTAATACACAACTTGATTATCTTAAAAAATTCAGTATTTTACATAATTTAGGCTTTTCTTGTGTTGTTTAGATAAGATGATGAAATATTTAAAATATTGAAATGGAGTGTTGCAGGAATCATTCCTGAAACCCGGAAATAAGTCATTTAGAATCGCTCGTCTGGATTGTTGTTAGACTGAAATAACGATGGAGGGTTAAACACATTTCCGAGTTTTGTTTACGGCAAATTTCGGAAGATTTTACATGTAATAAAAAAGATGGTTGATAATAGGCGTCAAAATGAGACTTGTAAACGTCATCTGTTCATACTTTAGCCGCCTTTAGCTTAGCGGTGTTGACGTTGAGTCATGCAACCGTGATGTAGTACCTTTATAGCCTAGCTTTAGCTTTGTACTTCTAGAGATTGCATTTACGCATTTTGTGTTTGCCACAGAGGCTATTTTCTCCAATAATCCGAAATCCTATGGAAAAATCCCATTGCTTTTTGTTGAGCCCTTGCGATGCTAACCTTTGGACGGAATGCAATATTACGTTATCACTGCACCACTCTATGTCTTTTATCCTCTGCGCATTGTTGTAAAATAGGTTTGTGAGCAAAACATAGGTCCAAATGTATCTTTTTTTAAACAGAGCCATACAAATTACTGCCTATTTGAAATATTTGCAAATGGCGTCCATGTTGTACGTACATGTGTACAACATGCATTTAAGTAACCTATCTTTCATGCTCTACGCAGTAACATCCCAATACAACCAGTAAATATCCATACATGTAAACCCAGGAGAATTGAGCAAACAGCAGCTGTAGAAAACGTGCACGCATGACTGCACACACAAACATCAGTGAGATATCTCTGCAGAGTGTGTCCCACGACGCTCACAGAAACACGTAACAGGACACTGAGTACAACACACAGCCCACTCTGCAGAGACGCTGGAGCCGTTTGCTACATATTGCAGATGGGTAACTTCTCATTCTCCGGGCCTCATTGCACACAAGCACCAGCTGTGTGCGCTGAGTGTGTGTGTGAAGTGGGTAGTTATGTGTGTGAGCATGTAGGAGGCAGGGCACGGAGGGCTTGTTTACTGTGCGTGTGTCTGAAAGGGAAAGTTGATGCAAAAGACTGTTTGTGTAATTATGTGGTCAAAATATTATGAAATTGTGTGTGTGTGAGGTTAGGTTTGGGCACACCGTGGACTGATTGTTGAGCTAACACTGTCACACACACATTCTGCACAGGGGGTTCAGCTAAACCCAGTGCCAGGCGTGACTACGCTCATTTGTTATATAGAGTAATTCCGTGGAAATTATCCATCCTTTGCAGTGTAATGTGACAGAATCCCATCCTCACTGGAAGGCACGGCAACGCTGGAATTATTCCATCCAATCATCATCGAGCAGAGGAACAGTACCGAAATGGCAAATTAGCATCTGCTTCATTTATCCTGCAGTGAACTCTCCACTACAGGGCGAATGTGTTTCCATAGGAACATGATGTTTCTTCACGAGCTGTGCAACACGCTCTACAGTATGTCGTCAGACTCTCCACACAGATAAAGGAAGAGTTTGGAAAGGCAATTACAGATTTTTTTGTTTATCTTGAACCCCACTCCGGTCTTATCTGCCTGACATCTCTGTTCCTCTGCGCGTGTTTTTTATTAGAGGCTACAGGCGTTTACAGCTCCAATTTCCTGTAGCCACTTTGCCATTTCCTGTATCTGCATCGCCTCAATCTGTACAGGCTGAAATATTACAGCAATTACTGCCAGCTCTGTGCGAGTGTGTTGAAAAGACTGCAGAGTTTCTGATAATCTGTACAAGAGTCAGCAGCAACAGTTTTATGCTTTTGGGTTTAAAGCACTTTGGTTGCACATTTCCACGTCTTAAGAACAAGCTTTCTCTTCATGCAGCTTGGTCAAATTGAACACATTTGACAGAGAAAGATAGGTTTCTTGAAGGGGCTTCTTCTCCAGAAGTATTGGCTGGATTATGACGAAGGGGAAAGGGTCGGATGAAAAGCAAAATGAGTGGTTGTGTATGACAAAGCACTGGAATAAAACGCTGAGAGAGAGATAGGGCGGGAGGGAAGAGGAGCTCTTGTAAAAGTGTCAGTGCTGATTTGCAGCGGCGTCCTTGCAACCTTCCCTCTACCTGACTGGATGTTTTACGAGCGATGCAGAATCAGAAAAAAAGAAGGCAGGCTTATAATACAGCTGACAGAAGTATTTTTATGGTGGCTGGGCAGAGGTGCAGGAGGGAGGGTGAGTGTGTAATAAAGCTGAGCGCATCTCTCCTGGAATGAAGCAGAAGCGAGGGGGGGGGGGGCTGCAAGAGAGAGGCAAGGCTGGTGAGGTGCTACAAATATTACTGAGCACAAGTGCGTGTGTGCACCATATGTCTAGATGTGTGCATTTGTCAGAGTGTTGAACGATCACTCAGCTCGTTCAGAATGAGAGCTACTAGCCCTGCATTAAGGGTTGAGGCTGAGGGATGGAAGGGGGGGGTTTGCACAGTGAGGCAGCATCAGAGCGGAATGCAGCACCACGCCAGCCCAAAGACACACAATTATGGCAGTTTTCTCCGCGCCATGCAGTCGAGCGTGCAACAACGACTCATTGAATTGATCAGGAGCCCGTGAAGAACTCCGCCATGCAGAATGAATACGCGCTGATGAGATATAATGCGGTTTGTTGAAAAGACCCCTTCACACTCAATACGAAGACTTTAAAGAAAATCGCTTCTCACATCTCCAGCTCTCGGGCTCTAATTTTAGAAACACCCGGTGTGTAGTCATTCCTATGTGTGTTTAACACTCTAGGTATAATGTTTTAAATCACTTCCGTGTTACAGGGCAATCAGGCGCATATGTCCAATCATCCATCTATTTTATAAGCGGCTTATGCTGCACAGGGTCGTTGGGGGCTCGGGCCAATCCCAGCATGCATTAGGTGAGAGGCAAGGTACACACTAGATAGGTCATCCTTGCTTACCCATAGCCTGTAGACTGAAGTAACAACATTTAAAAACAGTAGTTTATTTTGCTCTAGCAGGTACATTTTTTAATTGTATTAAAGATCTCTATTTAAACTCTTCTCTGTTTCATTTCAGCAGAACTCATAATTTAGCTGAATAAGTCTTTTTCAAAGTAAGAAAATTGACATTTTAGTGTGGCTAAAAGTGAAAGAAAAGGGTGAATTTGCAATAATCCATACTTAGTGTGTCGTCATTTTACTCAAAAAGTGCTGACCACTTAAGTAAGGTAAGAAGGAATATATACCTGGCCACTACCTACTGGGTTTCTAAACAACTAGAGTGTAGCTTATCAAAAATATATAATGTAATTTCCATCAGAAAACTAATGTCAGTGATGTGGGTGTAAGAGAAGTAATACATCTCTCCAACATGTTGTAGGTTTTCATTATTAATTCAGTGAAGTCTGAAAAGCCGTCAATCAAGCCATTACACTTCTACCCAATGTTTAAAAACTCTTCTTCTTTAAACACTATAATTGGCCCTCTCCTGAACAGCAACGACTGGTTGAATTACTTTATACATTACCAGAACACTACTAAAATAACAAAATGTAAACAAGATGAATTGAACGTATGTTTGAACATACATAATTATGTTCCAACACATTATAACTAAATAACACTACGTCAGTCTTACAATACACGTGATATTTAAATCTTTAAACCTTTTTAAGTGTGACCTGGCCAAGAGTGCAGCATAGACATTGCTACAACAATCAGCACAATCAATGCACTCATAAGAAAAACAAAAAAATAGACTACAATATCCAGTTATAATGGAACAAGTACAAAGAGGCAGCATCTTTGCTTAACTATGTTCTAACCTTGGAAATCAATATCTGTAAAATATTTAGAATGTGCAATATTACATAATTACATGTCATTTAGCTAACGTTTTTATCCAAAGCAACATTCAAACATTTGAATGCGGTAGACATGCCTTCGGTAACAATGTGGGCTTAAGTCTCTTGCCCAAGAACTCTCCAGAGGCTGGGGATTGAACTTCTGACCCTCTGATTGGTAGACGCCCATTTAGCCCCTGAGCCGTCGCCGGCCAATATTGTTCATGATTTGAGGATGTACTACAAAGATAAGTAGGAACCATCCTCAGGAGAGATTTTTATAAAAAATGTTTAGCAGTAGTAGTGCTGATGCTGCATTGACCTATTTTATCTGATGTGATTTGTTGATAGGGGTTAGGGAGTAGCCACAATGTGTGCGTAGAGTGTAATTATTGGTTAAAACTTTAGAGTGGCGCAATAATTTGTCCTACAATTCAAAATTGACATAGCATTTTACCACTTCCAGTCCCCTTGTCTCGAAGTCTATGTTTTTTGAATATTGTTTTGGTCAGATGGCAAAAATAAAACCAATGTTTAACACAAGCTTATTCAAGGTTTTTTTTCTACCACAAAAAAAGAAATACGTCAGTAAAATCACATTTGTGAATCTCCGAAGCTTCTACTGTAGATATCATAAAATCGGCGGTTAGTGATAAGTGACTGAATAAACTACTAAACTTCATCATGCTGACATGAGTTCACCTTTAGCTTAGCGGTGTTGACGCTCGGTTATGCGATTGTGATGTCGTTTGTTTATAGCTTAACTTTTTGATTCTGCCTTTTGAGTTTATCCTACAAAAATCACTACGTGTCCTGTTGAATGAAACATGATAATTATCTTTACGTGTGTGGAGACAGAGCCTTATTTTCAGCAATATTCAAAAAATCCAATGGAATAATCCCATTGCTTTCCTTGAGGGAGCCGTTGCAATGCTAACTTCTGGGTTGTCCTACACAAATACGTCATCACTGCACCACTCAGACATAGGAGCTGTATAGTCTAACGTTTTGTGTGACCCTGTCCCTCTCTTTACAGACTTCCTGTCCCTCATCAGAGAACTGGATCCAGAGCTGTCGGACTCTTCGTCTGTCCCGAATGGAATCCCCTTAAGGTGGACGTGGTAAATTAAATATACATGTCCCAAAGGAGCGCTGCCGTGTCAAGCAGCAAACCCACAGCCATAAATCAACACCGGAGGACTTTGATTTCTCCATTGTCGCTTCCTGCAGCGACAACAGAGGAACAGGCGTGCTGACCTGCCGATGTGCACCGTACGATTCTATTTCTGGAACCTCATTGCTTTTACAGATTAACTGCCCTCAAATATGGCCCCAATCCGATCATTGCGCCACTAGTTTGAGTGCTGACGGAGGTTGTGGATATATTCAAGCTTCAGAACACCCCATTGTGCATCAGTCCAGTCTGAAAGGCCACTGCCTTTGGAAAGCTGTGCGAGTGCAAACTAACACCTTGACTGTATGTCACAACAGACTGAAAGTCATTTTTCGTTATTCTCCTTACAATCATTTCACAACTCACAAGGCATTACTTATTCCCATCCAAACTTTTCAGGAGATGATAGACATTCATGCTAATGACGTGACATTGTGCATAGAATAAGACTTCATATTTTATTGCATGAGACATTTTCCATGAGTTCCTGAGGGAAAATCACACTGAAATCCCATTGCCGAGTGTTTTCATTAGCCTGTCTGGGGCTAATCAAGGTCCTCCATCATCTGAATTGACATTTCCATATTGTATGAGATAGAGAGTCGCCAACATTAGCATATTCATGAACACTGGGGCACTCAATCATGTGAAATGGAAGACGTGGGGCAAACCCTGAGCCATCAAGCCCCGGAACAAATAGCTTATGACATGTGAGGAAAAGAGGATCCTGAATCCCTCATCACAACTTCAGCACATCCCATAGCACACAGGGGAAGTCCAGCACTGGCACACTGAGGATATATTTGATAAACCTGGAATGGGTTGTTGGCCTCTGGACCAGGCCCTACGACAACAGAAAAATTAAAGAATAGGATTAAAGATGGATTATCGCTGAAAGCCACCAAAGCAGCTGCCTGTGCATAAACCCCCGGACTCTCTCCAGGGAGACACCGCAGACTGATTAGTAGATTGTTTGGCTGTTGATGTGGTGGCCTCTTGTGTGGTTGGTATTCAAACAGAGTGATGGAGAATCTAGATGAGCTGGAGCACCCTCTTCTGGGAGAAGTCCCCAATAACAGCCGGGCATCTTTGGGGCCCGGGACAGGACAGAACCCTGGAGGGATGTTCAAGGGCATCCTGGTTAAGTGTGAGGAGGACAGGGCCTACCCTCCCTTAGCATGGAGGGGCTATTGTGGACATCCTCCAGAGTTCCAGCAGCAGCAGCTCCTGGACCCCTGCGCCTTGCCTCGCACTCTGGAGTCCTTTTACCCAACGGCTCCCATCTGGGGACACTCAGACTCCCTGCTCAGCAAGGACTACCTGGAGACCACCTTTGTGGACATCAGGCCCGGCTCCACCCCGGAGAGGAAGCTGCTGGCCGAGAGGCGGGACTACCACAGTGACTCCTACAGCGTGGACGATGAGGACGATCTGCTGCCGGACTCTGACGTAAGACACCCCACTGACACCATGTTGAGAATGATTCTTTCTCATAACACAACAGCGTTTAGTGTATTTGGAATCCAACTTGTAAAATATAGCATTTAGTTTAAAAGTGGCATTGAATGCTCATTTACAGGTTCATACATGCATTATGTTTCAAGAAGACATGCTTACATCCAGAAAGCACCTTAAATATTTCATACTGCTTTTTCTGTTGCTTGATTACGTAAATAAACCACAAAGTCTTAAGATGAGTGAGTCCAAATGTCTCTTAAGAAAGGGCCATTAAAAGGTATTTCTTGCTTGGGCAGCAGTTCACAATCCAACCATTATTAGCAACTGATTTTATAGCACAGAATAGCTGTTGTCAGAAAATGTTCACAAGACAACTTATAAATGTTCTTATTCTTATCAGCACCATTTTCCAAAGGTAATGTGTACACAGATTTCCTTTTATCTTTTAAACATACTTCTTAGTACAGCATGACAATTTGAGCAGGAAATATGCAAGAGCTTGTGAGAACAATATTGGTCCGCTCTTTGCAAAAGATACTTCTCAATAGGGTGGAGGATCAGGGTTAATATTCGAATGAGCCTGAGTGTGACATGAGAAGGGGATTCACATCTGGCATTTTGAATCCCATGTCCCAAACAAATCTGAATGGGTTGTTGTATTTCAGCCTTTGCGGAAAAAAAAGAAAATGATCCCCAAAAGTAAGTGACTCACCGGCCACTGAAAATGGAACAAGATGTATACTTTAGATGGGCTTTTGCTGTTCTGTCCTCCCTGGTCCTCAGACTCCTATTGTTCAACTGGTCCTCTTGGAGCCTCAGGTAACACCATCACTTGGAGCTAAACACACTGAAATCAACCCACATCTACAAAATGCATTCTTCAAAACCCTTCAGCAAGCTGCCAGGATTCCTCCTTTTCTCTTTCCTACCAAAAACACCTCCTATAATCAAACACTTCACTCTCCCTTTGTTCCCCTGAGTTAATTGAACACCTGATCCGTACCTACAGGGAGGTGACAGGGGAAAGAGGGGACACACTGAATGCTATATCACACACAATTGCAAATCTACATGTTCTGGAACTTCTTTGATTCAAATAAATAGCCCCAGCTAAAAACGGTTCGCAGGGTGTTCTGCGGATTGTCAAGAGTAATAGAGATTCTATGAAAGGATGTTGCTGTTCATTTCTGCTTAATCAAATAGATGAAAAAATGCTAAATCATCTCTTTTAACAGACAACGTCAGATTTTATTTTGGGGGTATTTGACCTGAACTCAACCTAAGAGCACTCTGTTTGAATCCCAGGACTCATCCATTGAAGACTTCAGTGAGACAGACAGTGAGAGCAACTTCCCCCTGATGATCCCTCAGGACTACCTGGGTCTGGCCTTCTTCTCCATGCTCTGCTGCTTCTGGCCCCTGGGCATCGCTGCCTTCTACCTCTCACAGAAGGTACACACACACACACACACACACACACACACACACACACACACACACACACACACACACACACACACACACACACACACACACACACACACATACATACATACACACACACACTTGTACCTTAGCTGACAAGATATAACCTGGCACTGTAGTTCACAGCCGCAGGTCATTTCCTCCCCTCTGCAGTGTAGACTAACTCCAGGTCCAGTGTTTTAGTATTCTCCAAGGCTATGAACATAATGGAATTGGTTCAGAGTGTGAGGGAGGGATTATGTCTAGATGTGCAGGATTATGCCAATATATTTTTTTAAACAGCACAAAGGTGTTAGAATGGATGTTGCATCACAGGAACCCTAAAGCCGCCTTCACATGATCACCGTTCAAAAGAGCCGGGGTTACTAGGTTTATCTGCAAAATAATCACCAGGATAATGATTGACTGTATTGCCACACCTAATGTCAATAATCTGCATTAGTAAACATGACACAAGGTGGTGCCATATCCATGTCATTTGTCTACTTTGAATTTACCCTCTATGTGTTAAGTAAATAAAG